TGGGGTTGTTGGGTATTTATAAGGAAAGAAAACAGCAGCCAAAACCCCAAAGAATCAGACAAAACCCCCCAAAAACGGGATTTCTGATTCTGTACAAAAATAGCTATTGCAGTGTTATAAGTCGACTCAGTACTGTTCATGAGTCGACTCATAAGTAGCCATTACAGGCTAAAAACCAACTTATGGACCGACTCATAAAATTCATGAGTCGACTCATCATGCATAGGTCGACTCATGAAGTCATGAGTCGACTGAGCAGAAACAAAACACATTTTCCAACACAGTTTATGAGTCGACTTATGACAGGTATGAGTCGACTCAACCTGATGGTCGACTCATGATGTTGTGAGTCGACTCATCAGAAACAATTGGAAACTACGCAGCAGTTTGTGAGTTGACTCAATACTGTTTATGAGTCGACTCATAAACATGTACACAAAAAATTTCAACTTTGAGCCTTATTAAAAATTATCAAATAAATTCTAAAAAATATAAAACTTTGGGAATAGTTTATAAACATTTTGAAAAACTTGTTTGAAAAGAAATTTTGCAAAAAGGTCCTTTTATTTATTAAAATCATCATTTTAACAAAAGTACTAAAATACGAGTTTTGAAATAGTGCAAGTGTGTGTGATATCTCAAATAGCTTCAAATGAAATCTACAACTACTTACCTATATTTAAGTACTAGAGAGAAAATAAAATAGCAAATATCTCTCACATATAAATACATTCTTGAGTCTTGATATTGCTTTAGAGTTGATGGAGCTTTTTAAAGCATATAGTGTTATTGATAAACATTGCTTCATTACTATGCCTCCACCTCCTTTAGATATTGACGTTGTAGCTCATATTCCATCCAATCCTCTATATATGGTGCTAATGAATTATAATCTATAATATAGCTCAATAAACAATTAGCATCAATAATGGTGTTTGTAAATCATCATCAAAATAAAGGACCTAACAAGATCCCCTGAAGGGATTTTGAATCTAATTTTGTCTTTTAAGGACTATGATTGTGAATGAAGCATAGAGAATCAAAGATCTTAGAGGGTAAAGGAAAAGGCTCACTATCGAAACGAGATACAGGGGTGTTGTTATGTAAGACAGATGATGACAATCTATTAATTAGCTAACATGTAGTCAAGACATCATCACCACAAAAATATTTTGTAACCTCTTGATGAAACAACAATGTTCGAGCAATTTCTAGCAATGTCTATTTTTATGCTCAACTACTCTTTGATGATGTGTGTAAACACAAGCGATATAAAATTCCATTTTCTTCTAAAAAAAATTGTTAATGATTTATCAAAACATTTTTTTATCATTGTCTATCCTTATAATTTTAATGGAAGCATGAAATTGATTTTTAATTTCAACACAAAAAACTTTGAAACTCTAAAAATAGAAAGTACCTCAAAATGAGTTTTCAATAAATAGACCAATGTCATGTGAAAATAATCAACCACAAAACTAATGAAATATCTAAAACAAAATTTTGACAAAACAGAATAATGACCTTATATATCTGAACGCACTAAATCAAACAGGTTAATGACCCATTTATTAACTTGACTAGGGTAAGACACTCCTTGATGTTTTCTTAGTTGACATGACTCACAATTCTAAGACTTAACATTCTACTCAAATCTGAGTTTTTAGAGCAGAAAGGAGAGGGTGATCAAACCGACAATGTTGATGGGAAAACTAATATAGAGCCGATATACGTAGCTTGGTCTAAAGTAAGGTCCAGTTCATATGAACCATGCACTCATGTGCTGTGCCAATCGTCGTTCTCATAATAAGTGCCTGAAAATACAATTTGTAGGAAATACAATTTAATGCTTTAATATACTAAAATACAAGAGATTAAATAAAAAGAAAGGAAGATATATCACAAATGAAAAGGGAAAATGTCAATATCAGTAAAGCATATTCCTTCTACAGATGTATTGAAACAGTCAGAACTACATGAAAAATAAAGTTGTAGGTATGCAAGAGGATAGTATACTTCGGTTCCCCTCATGTGGTTAGTCAACCCTAAATCTAAAACCCAAATACGAGATGATAACGATGTAAGAAAAACAATAGAGTTACCTAATCGGCCAGCTGTGGGTGTATTGGGGGGGGGTACAACGTCTTTTTAAACTACTAGAATAGCTATAGCCGAAACTGCTCAAGTCGTGACCAGTCTAATCATCTAGATACTCTCGTGGCAGCTACCTGCGTATTCTGATGTTGTTTGTCCTGTAACTGAGAATAATTGAACTTCTTATGGCCCGACTCCTTGCAGCAATGACCGTTAATAGAGGAATAATCTCTAATGACTCCTCATGAACTATGTCATCATCCTCCACGTACTCCAAATCGTCCCCGATGTCCGCGCTCACCAAAATGACCATTGCCATAGTCCAAGAGAGTACCTCCATGCCTCCTATCTGTCTTCCCTAGGATACTAAGGTAGATCGATCAAATGAGGTAACCGAAGGTGTGGATGAGATAGTAGGAGTCAGGCATCTGAGGAAGTGATAAGTCTCTGCAAGTGAGAATGTTGTACTGCTTAATAACTATGGTCGTACTGAATACTAAATAGGATATAGAGTCCTAAAAAGATCAATACCATCAACTAATCCCACTAATCTTACATCTGTTTCACATCTGATGTAATAGGAAAAATCTTTCAAAGCTCCTTAGCTAGTTGATTAAACTCTATATAATGCCCATCCAATATCGGTTCCTCCTATGTCATGCAAAGGATCTCCTGAATGAGATCATAAGCTCTATTCACATGTCTTGATCTTGAATACAATCGGTCTAAGTATGCCCAATCCATGGCTCCATTGTGTTTATGATATGTCCAAGAAGTATTGCATTATCAATTGTCCAGTCCTCAGTCAACTAGTCCAACAATTCGACCTCCAACAAACTCCAACGAATACTAACCATATCAATTAGTAATGAAAACTAGCACATGTAATGAACAATCCTAACCAACTAATTACAAGCATATCCAATAATAATACCAATGGGAAATAGGTTTTTTGGAGATTAGAATGACATGTTAGGGTTTTGTGGGTTCAATCCTAGGATTAGGTCGTCAGGGGCTACATTGACGGTTGTAAGGGAGAGCGGTAGTGACATCTTCTACTTTAGGTGGTGTGGATGTGAGAAGGTGAGACAACGATGGCTGCTTACATCAGGGCAGCGTATCTAGGAGAACTTGAAAGTGATGGCAAGTGACGTGGCGGGGAGGATTTGAGGGCAACTCCAGCAAAGGATTTGAGTGTTGCTCTGACGATAATGTGGTTTGACGTGTTAGATAGAGTTAGGAGACTATGGCTAGGGTTATGGTTTCTGTTTATGATGGAAAGAAGGGATGGAAAGAGAGAGAGGGATTTCAGATGGTGGGCTAGAATTGATGGATTTTAGATGGAGGGCCAGGATTGATGGAGAACTCCTTTTATATGTTAGGCTCTGATACCATGTCATTTGGTTAATCTGAGAGGATGATTTGTCCCTCTCCTCTCAAGTCTTATTAATAGTATTAGGATTACAAATAATTTGACTCTAACCAATGTAGGACTAAACTGAATACAGAAAACTAACTAAATATAGGAAAAACACTTAGGTGTTGTATCCTGAGAATTACTAAGTCTAATGAGCTCTTGTGATCTGGCCATATGTCATAATTTATTGGCTGAGTCCTATAATCTGAAAGGTCGACCTGGGTGAGAGCGCCGCCATTTTTTCTAGTAGTTCGAGTCCGAGATGAAAGACGTCCTCAAGCTAGGACATGCTAAATGAATCTAAGTCCGAGACAAAAGGCATCTTCTATTCGGACTTCACTAGGGAATGTCTCGAACAACGACATAACCTATCGGCTTCGCCACCTAGTCACCTTCGCATTTAAAGCATGGCTAGAGTCATTATGACTTCTCAAACCAAAGTCATAATGCTTCCTCGGACAATACCAGCATTTCTGTCATTCTATCACTATTGCATTAAACGCAAAGAACCGATCGTCTATATGTGGAAAGGGTAGTCTGACTGACAGGCTGCACCCACCGAATCGAATTACCAATGTGCCCACACAAATTGTCTGCAAATAGTGGACAACACCACTTTACCAAGGTACATAAATAAAACCCTAATACTAGATTTTGCGTTATGCAAGCTTGCTTAATCTATTACTGACCTGAACGTCAGATGGCACATATGGGGAAATTTCCTCTAGCTTTCTAATGAGTATTACTCATGTAGGAATCTGCTTCCTTCTGGTTAATCAGTCATCAAAGAAGATTAAGAGACCCTAAATGCTTCCAAATATCCGTCCACCTATGCAATTAACATTCTGACATAAACAATTGACAACCAAATATTGAAAATGGAATTTTTGATTGTAGTATTTGCTTATTTATCTCCGTTTTCTGTCAACTCAAACACCACTAGATTATGCTCTCGCTGTTATTTTAACAGAAAAAAATCAAAGAATTTCATTATACAGCCGCAAATTTTGTTACTTACTAATAATTCGCGGGTCAAAGTCTGCAAATTCACAAGTCATATGTGATAATAACTTCGAAAAGTTAACGCAATCAAACAATTAACTAGACACCAGTTATTAGAGGGTGACATGTAAAAGGTCGCGCTAAACAAGATGCGTCCAAACTCGAGGGTCGTTTTATGGCATCCACGGTGGTATTTCAGAAAATTCATCCAATTATGGAGGGGTATTATTGTCATTATATAATTCCGGAGAAAATCCAACGATATATGTACAAATCACATGAAGCAGGGAAAAAGAAACAAGAAAAAAACAGAGCAAGTAAAAAAAATTATTATAGCGAGAAAGAGAGAGTAAAGCTCTTGTATATAAACAATTTCCTCCGGTTACGGAGAGAGAAAGAGATGTGTTTCTTCTTCTTGTTGGCCTTTGGCATTTATTAGTGAAGATTGGACTTGAGAGCTCTTTTTCTCTTTTCCGCTCACTTATCCTTCAGATTTCTACTGTGGATTCAAGGGGAAAGAGAGACTGAGGTAAATTAAGATTGCAATCACCTTTTTTCATCATGTGGGTTTGTTCTAAAACTCATCTATTTTTCTTAGATTTGTCAGTTGATGGGTTTTCTTTGCTTTTTGATAGTGGGTTTCTGATGTGGGTTTCTTCATTTTCTCCGTTTGAATCATTTCCTGTGATGAGTTTTCATTATTTTGGATTTTTACTGGCTTTTTTCTGATGGGTGTTCTTTCACTTTTATTTCTTTTGCCATTTATGGCCTATATGTTGTAAATTTCTCTTTGGTTTGATGTGGGTTTTTAGCAAATTGATAAGATTCCATCTGCAGCTGTTTGATTTTGGTCTCCTTATGCTCTCCTCTTTCCTTTAGAATAAAATATAAGATGCTCTCTGTCTGCAATTTTCACTGCTGAACTCCTCGCATTCCAAGATGCTGTCTTTGGCTTTGCAGGTTATTTGATCTCCAAGCTTGGGAGTAGAGAGACTGGGGGAATGTGGATTCTCTAGTTTTGGGACTTGGGAACTAGCTCAGCTCTTAACACTAGATCTCAAAATCCTTTCTTTTCTGTTTCAGAGAGAGAGAGAGAGAGAGAGAGAGAGAGAGAGAGAGAGAGAGAACAGTGTACAGCTGAGTACAGAGAGAGAGCGAGAGTATTAAGAAACAAGTGAGTGCTTGTAGAGTGTCTCTGATCTTGTTGATTGCTAATAGTTTACTGATCTAGAGAGAAGAAGAGAGGACCAGTATCTTCTGTCTCCTGTGCCTAATTAAAAATCCAATTTCTGAAAGTTGACAAATCCTAGTTCTTGTTTTTTCTAGAAAAGAAAGTTACTCTTTTGCAACTTTCAGAGTTTTCCCAGTTCTTGGTTATTTTTGCTGAGGAGGAGATTTTGTGTTTTGGGATCTAAAATTTGCTCCAACAATGAAGTATATGAAGCTTGGATCAAAGCCCGACTCATTTCAGACTGATGGGAACAATATCAGGTAAAACTTCTTCACGTCTTATCCATTTATTTCTTAAACAAACAGCTTGATTCCTGCACTTGCATTGGTAATGCTAAACGCCGAGGATAAGTTCTTAAGAGTCTTTAACTGTTAACGTGATCCTCTAAATTTTGGTTGTATCTTGGATTTTCATCGAATTCAATGTGATGAATATTATATTAATTGTTAGGTGTCATTTGGCCCCAGCCTGATTTCGTACACTGAATCTAAAATTAGTTAACAACCAAACTGACCAAGATCTGCTTTCCTTCATGATATCAGTGTTAGAGCCTAATAAGGAGGAATAATTATCAGGGTATCATGGGTCCTTATGCTTTTCACATGTGACATGTGCCGTCTTACTCAAAAAGAGTAGTACATTTTTCCTTTGAAAATTATTATGACTATCCTGCTCTTACTATAATGAGTGAACCTAGTAGTTCATATCTTTCTAAATTGCATAGTGGTTCTCTACTTTATAGTTGTTTATGAGAAGTGTTAAGATGGGTGTAAGCACAGCTGTGGTTGAAATCATCATGCTTCATGTACTCTGCATTTAATTTTCCCCCTGATTAGGATGTAATTTATTTTTGAGATATACATGGACTAAGATTGATTGCATGTTATTATACTACTGGGTTTTTTGACTATAAAAAGAAAATGCGGAAAGTTTGAATTCGTTTGTCAGTGGCTACTAACTTTTCTAAAGGTTATGCGCTGCCAGTTGGACTCACTTTGTAACAAACTGATGGCCAAAGAGGGAAACATGGTGGCAGTCTTTACTTCTGTTTGCTAGATCTGTTCAATAGTGCACTAGATAATATTATCTTCACTTTCTAAACTATCGGAAGTATTCCACATAAAATGAAGAATTATACTACTTTCAATGAAAGTAATGTTTTTCTCATGGCATGTCACATTTGAGATCTTGGTATATTTTTGAAGTCTAATGCAAGTTGGTTTTTGCCAGTTTAGAGGAATTACACAAGGATCCATAAAAAATTCACAAGGTGTTGATATGCTTGAGGTAAACATCACTATGTATATGATTGGGAGTGGGAAGTGGAAATTTAGGAAGCATTAATCTTATAGGGTGAATTATTGGAGAGAAATTTCACAGGATGCATCTCTAGTACAATAATCTTGGTCTAAAGGAAAACAGAGGAAGCTTTGTATATAAATCCTTCTCCATATATACCAATTTGGACAAGAGAATTTACCTTATTGATTATGCATGTCAAGCTCACTTAACCAAAGAACAATCTTCATTGTCCTACAGTACAAGGAGCACCTATATTTGTCTCATTAAAAATAACTTGAATATTTAGATTAAGTATCTCTCTGAATTTGGCAAGGGAGCTGGATGCATAGAAGAACAAATAAGGGCAAGAGGAAAGTACCACCAAGTGGTCGTGGTTTCCCCGTTTGGGATAATTGTTTGATGAAACAAATAATGATGTTTTGGAGATAGCCGATGCAAAATCATCTTGTATATGGTCAAACTCCTAGATGATGTTATATTCCTAGTTGAAGTTGGATGCATCAATTATCAAAAATAGGGAACATATCAAGACTTTGCAATAAAAAAATATCGAAAATAGATGATGCCTTTGGGATGAATTAGTGGATTGCTAACTGCAAAAGAAAGCATACTTCTGTGTTAAAAAATGGTTGATTTTCTGTAGTAAAATTGCCTCCAATAGAGGCTTTCTAACTAACCAAATTTGAGATGAATTACTTGTGTCTCATACTCTGTGTGTGTGTATATCAATTCTATTAAAATTTGCTGGTGTTCCTGAGTTACTTGGAATATATCAAGACATATCGGCTTCTTGAAAAGTGTCTGAACATTCACCTTTGCAGGTATGTAGCAACTGAGTTGGCAACCGATGTCACTATCAATGTGGGAGAGGTGAAATTTTATCTGCACAAGGTAGAAACATTGCTTACTTTTATCATGCATGTACTTAATATTTTATTAACTCTAGTTGTAACCTTTTACCCTGAAAGGTGCATGTATCAGACTTCATGAATCCTTATATTATTTGTTTTGGCTCTTGATAGTCAAACAAAACCTAACATTTTTTTTTTTTTGCTCTTAAGCGACAAATATTGTTTCTACATTGCTCTATGCTATATAAATGAATCAAACAGTGATTTCTTTCTTCCATATGCTATTTATAACACCTTGTCCATGTTGGGTGGTTTTTCTATAGTCAAATATGAGCAAACTGCCCTGATTTAATTGTAAATTTCTCTCCTTTATGCATTTGCTCTTAAAAGTCACACTGCTAATTTCCTTTACTAGGAGTTTGACCAATTTCCATAAGCATGGTGTCAACTAAAATAGCCTATTGAAAAGACTCACATTGGACTATCACTATAATAGTGAAGATCATTGAAAAATAGATTAACTAGGCCTGCACGTTTGCAAGTATGATGAGAAACCTCAAACGTTGTGACACTGAGATGATGTAATAGTTTGTTCTGAAGCATGGCCAAATATGTATAATATCAGAAAATATGTCTGAGGTAGATAATACCATGAAAAATGGTACGTGCCGTTCTTACTCGGAGTTTTTATCCTCTGCTCTATGTAGATCATTGAATTTGTGGATGTTCAACTTACTTAGAGTGTGACAAGGTGCAATATATTTATTTTCTTCAGTCTTTTCTTTTTGGGTTATTGAATATACTTTTACTCAACTATTCTGCAGTTTCCTCTTTTGTCAAAGAGTGCTCACTTGCAAAAGCTAGTGGCAGCTACTGACGAAGAAACTAATGATGAAATAAACATTCCAGACATCCCGGGTGGCCATGTGGCCTTTGAGATTTGTGCAAAGTTTTGCTATGGCATGACAGTCACCCTCAACGCCTACAACGTGGTCCCTGCTCGCTGTGCTGCCGAATATCTCGAGATGCACGAAACCATCGAAAAAGGAAATCTCATCTACAAAATCGAAGTTTTCCTCAACTCTAGTATTCTTCGAAGTTGGAAAGACTCTATAATAGTACTCCAAACCACGAAATCTCTCTTGCCTTGGTCTGAAGATTTGAAAGTTGTTAGTCATTGTATTGACTCAATAGCTTCCAAGGCCTCTATTGATTCTTCTGAGGTTGATTGGTCTTATACTTACAATAGAAAAAAGCTTAGCTTAGAAAATGGTATTGATTCACAATGGAATGGGGTGAGAAAGGAGCAATTGGTCCCGAAAGATTGGTGGGTTGAGGATCTATCTGAACTTGATATGGATTCTTATAAGAGGGTTATATTGGCTATTAAGACTAAAGGGAGAAATTCTCCCCATGTGATTGGAGAAGCTTTAAAGGCTTACGCATATAGAAAGCTGCCAGGTTTTAGCAAAGGCATTATAAACCAAGGAGATATCTTGAAGTTCCAAACAATTTTAGACACAATTGTTTGGTTATTGCCTATTGAGAAGGGTTCCGTCTCTTGTAGTTTTTTGCTAAAGCTATTGAAAGCTGCGAGATTGGTAGATTCGGGAGAGAAGTGTATGAATGATTTGGTGAAGAAAATTGGAAGGCAGTTGTATGAAGCTTCAGTTTCTGATCTTTTAATTCCAAGCTCAGAAGGGGATGATATGATTTATGATGTGGATACAGTTTTGAATGTAGTTGAGGTGTTTGTGATGCAAGAGGGTGGAAGTGGTCAAACTAGCCCTCAAGTGTCTGAAGAGTTTCAGGAGATTAGGAGCCCGGTTTTTGTATCAGCTAGTTCAAAAATGGCTGTGGCTAATTTGGTTGATAGTTACCTTGCTGAAGTTTCAAAGGACCCGAACTTTCCGCTTTTAAAGTTTATTGAACTTGCTGAGATGGTATCGAGCTCTTCAAGGCCTGCGCATGATGGACTCTATCGGGCTATCGACATGTATCTGAAGGTAAGTTATTCACAATTTTACATTCCTCAAAACATTTGCTCATCGACATGTATCTGAAGGTAAGCTACTGACAATTTTATGTTCCTCAAAACATTTGCTCCTTCTAGTGTAAATGCACTATTTTTGAGTTGCATACGGTGGATATCTCCTGAACTTTTTCTCGGATAAGGGTAATCATTTTCAAAGTATAGTAAAACTATTTAGTAGTAACATATAGCAAGATACTATTAAGTTAGTCATAGATTCCTTTCCACTACACAACACCTTAACACTCTTTTGTGAATTGAGGGCTATAATTTGGGTAAAATTCACTAAACCCCCAAAATTTAGGGGTGTTTCCCACAAAACCGCCTCTTAAGTTTTTTTATTCCACTGAAACCCCCTGGAACTTTGGGTGTCTCACGAAAACCCTCTAAACTTAAAAAGTTTCCTCCATGAAAGTGCAGGGCGGTTTTTTACGCCCCAAAGTTGAGGATGTCTCATGGAATAAAAGAAGTATAGGGAGGTTTTGTTGGAGATGCGCCACCCTTATAATTTAATATCTTAAATGAGTCAAAGAAAGAAATTTAAACTTTAACATGCTCATTTATAGAATAGTTGAATATTCTGGAAATATTACAAATCTTCTGTGTTTATGGTCTTGTATTTAGAGTTAATCTTCAGATAACTATGCGAAAATTTCAGGAGCACCCGCATGTAACAAAAGTTGAGAAGAAGAAACTCTGCGCCCTAATGGACTGCAAGAAACTAACCCCCGATGCCTGCATGCATGCCATCCAAAACGACCGCCTCCCTCTCCGCGTAGTTGTCCAAATCCTCTTCTTCGAGCAGCTCCGTCAATCTTCTACTATCTCCTCCACTGCCACCACCACCACAGAAGACCCCGCCGTCTCTCCTTCCCCGAGACAACGCGGTGGCGGCTGTGGGTCTACGGCAGCTTCTAGTTCGTCGCCGCCAATACCGAGGAGGATTGGGACGGGCAGCCCACTAATAACGGAGATGTTGGGTCAGTGAAGAGTTTGAATGAGCGGAGTAAGAAAACAAAGGGGTTGGTGCCAAAGAAGCTGTTGAGTAAGTTGTGGACGACGGACAAGGGGCAGAGTGTAGACAATAGTAGCTCGGATACATCGGAGAGTGCTGGGGACGCGAAGTCTACGCCTTCTAGGAACACAAGACGATCGGTTTCCTAGGTTTTTCTTTTTGTTTTAGGGTTTGTTCACTTCTTGTTTTTGGTTGAATGGGAGTGAAAGAGTCTTCCAAGGGTGTAGGATAAAAGGAAGAAAGGGGAATGCATGTTTGATTTTTTTGGTAAGGTTTTGAAAGGGGTGAAATGATGTCGGTGTTTACTTGGTGGTGATATGATCAGGGTATCTACACTACAGCAAAAGCATATAATGTTGCATGCCTATTGTATCACGTTTCGATCACGATAGCTTTGATCCCTTGCGTGTAAAATAAGCTCATTTTGGTAAATGAGTTATCAAAAGATGGCTGGTGGTGGAATTCATACTCCTTGTCGCATCATCGCAGGCGTTCCATGCACCACTCTTTTATCATTTGGCAGCTTGGTAACATCACGCAACGTTGGGGAGCGGGGGTAGTTAGCTGGGGAGGGGGTAGTTACCCTGTCAGATCCTTTCGCTCGTCCGAAGTCGGAGGATCCGAACCCAATAGGGGGCGTGGCAATGACCAAATTACGCCCCTGTTGTTGGGGAATTTCAGTCTCCCCGCCTACCACGATATGCGCAACTCGGAAGCCAACCCCAATCAATAAGATAGAACAATCACAATTAAAAAAAAAGCACCGAGATTTACGTGGTAGGGGTAGGAGGATGTTAAAGGGGAGAAGTGTTGTACGCCTAGCAAGAAGGGAGTGTAACCCCCAGCAAGAAGCATGTATGTTGCACGCCTTTTGTATATACTCTTGAAGTGGATTAAGGATCGATAGTGTTTAGATTCCATAGTTTAATGTTAGAATTGGGTTTGTTTATAGTGAACTTGGAAGTATTAATGTTTCCCCACCTGAATCGAAGGACTTAATTTCCCCCTATTTTTAAGATAATATTTGTCTCAATATCTGTAAGGGTTACCGCAAATTTGCCTCCCAAGATAATTCGAGTCCAGATTATTGATTACTTGTTGCAGGCCAAAGATCATCATGAAACTTCATCAACGTAGAGATGATACAAGGAAAATTTAAGGAGAGAACTTTCTTTTTCGTAGATAGAATTCGGAAGAGATTTCTTAATTTTTCTCTTCAGGGGCTGTTTGGTTCGTTTCCTTGATATAGGGAAATACATTTCCATGTACAAAAACACAAGTTTTGATTTTTCCAATCTTTTCCAAGAAATGGATTGTTTCGCTTTGGTTCGCACAAAAAAATGATGGGAAACCAATGTATTTATTACTTTTCCAAGAAATGGATTGTTTCGCTTTGGTTCGCACAAAAAAATGATGGGAAACCAATGTATTTATTTTTCTTGTGTTTGGTCACAAAAAAATGATGGGAAACCAATGTATTTATTTTTCTTGTGTTTGGTTCGCATGGAAAAAAAGGAAAACTTTTGTTGATATTACATTTCCCACTTTTCTTGTGTTTGGTTGGTTTTGATGTTTGTAATGAAAAGTGCTTATGGTCACCATGGTAAGATTACCCCCACTATATTATACAACATTTGTGCTTGTTATGTGATGTAATCTTAATTATATAAAAGTTCGACTGTAACATGAACAAATAATAATATCTCAAATAAATTATAATTTGACTTGTAGTAACCTGATTATTCATAAATTTATGTAGTTAAGTTGCATGAATTATCCAAAAAAAACTGTTGAAACCTATAAAAACATATAAACAACCTGAATAGCCAAGCATAAGTATATAACCTAGCAAATCGCACAAAACCATGATTGAAAATTATTCCACAACACAACCCAGCAGAAAAAATTATTCCACAACAAAACCATGATTTTATCTGCATACAAAGTTTCAAAATTAGCTACAGACTACTGATACAACACCGAGCAGAAAAAAACCAAGAGAAACAACATATGCACACCAAACTGAACACAATTAGGTTGTAATGGTCACAAAGTCGAACATAGCTGCCAAACTGATTATGGCTGAAGGCTCAGAATTTTGGTCAATATCATCATATTGTTAGCCATCCAGTACAATATCAAGAGATATTGCAGGTTGCTAATGTCAGATAAATTAGAAATCATCATAGCCTAATTTGAGCACCCGTAAACAATATCAAAATACTGGCATCAACATCAGCCAACAACACCACAGCCAACAAGCAGGCTCACAACCAAAGTACCCAGCAGACCACCAACAGGCAACAACGTGCCCAGCCAACACCACCAACGGGCATCAACACCATCAGGCAACATGCATGAAGACCATCAACAGGCATGAGGCAACAACAACAAGACCACCAACAAGCATCAACAACAACACCATCAGGCAACATGCATCAAGACCACCAACAGGCATGAGGCAACAACATCAAGACCACGAACAGGCATCAACACCAACACCACCAACGGGCATCAACACCAACACCATCAGGCAACACGCATCAAGACCACCAACAGGCATCAGGCAACAACATCAAGTACCCAACAGGCAACAACACCAAAAGGCAACAACAAGAACAAGTACCTAGCCAACAACAGTAACAGGCAACAACAATGCATCAAGACCACTAACAGGCATGAGGCAACAACATCAAGACCACGAACAGGCATCAACACCAACACCACCAACGGGCATCAACACCAACACCGTCAGGCAACAAATAAGCTGAAAAAAAAAACCATAATTGGATTACAATTACAAGTCATTCCATATGTCAAAAGTTCAGTGCAATAGTGAACCCGCGGGGATGGATTTTCTAAAAAATGATACCACTATAGTCAAGAAGCAATGAAGTTATTAAGAAAGTTGGTTGAGTGCACAATGTATATAACCATCCAGACAGGTAAAGGTAATATATGTATCAGAAAGATAAATTTTAATGTAAAATATTCATGTGTATAAAATGTTCTGTTAAAAATATAAAGCATCTCGACTTTCTAGCAGTTACAAACATGCTAAAGGAGATGTTACCAGCACACCCTTGTTCAAATTCATCCATGCACCTTTGCTTGAGTAATATTATTTTTTACTTGAAAGTGGTAAAAGGATTTAAAGTTCACCTGATTTAATGCGCAAAAAATATATGATGACATATTAATAATTACATCATGAAAATGAATCGAAATTAAAAGGGGAAGAGGGGTTCTGCTTTGGTACCTGAAATCTGAATGAAGGAACTAACTTGTGCATGAAAGGACTGCTTCTTTAAAGTTGTCATGAATTTCATAATTTTAATAAGGAAGAAATCCCAGAAAGGAAAGCAAAAGGGATCTCCATACCTATACAAAACAGAGAAATGCATCCTCCAAACAACCAATATCCAAAAAATCTGAACAGGCTCACAGCCAGGCTCCACAACCAAGCTCACAACCAGCAATATAAAACCAAGCTCACAATCAGCAAACCAAACCACAACAGGTTCACAAGATACACCCACCAGCATCATCCAAACAAGCACAAAAAGCAACCAAAAACCCAACAATAAAAATGATACACCAACCAGGAATATAAAACCAGCCAATCAAAAATGTAAATAGATTATACACCAACCAGTCACACAAAATGAACAGGAAACACCATCTCGCACCAACAATGAATAGGAAACGTATAAAATTTCCTGATTGCTAAACTCACTTAGAAAATTAGTGAAATAGGCTCAGAATCTAGTCAATATCATCATTGTTAGCCATCCAGTGCAATATCAAGTGATATTGCAGGTTGCTAATCTCAGAAATTTTAACAATCATCATAGCCTAAAGTAAATACATTTCCCACGTGTTATTATAAGCAAGTGAAATAACATCATATGTAACAAAAATAACATCATGAAGAGATTGGTGAAATCCTCACAACCAGGCTCACAAACATGATAAACAAAAAACAACAGTTAGAGAAAAAGGCATGGTAAACAGGCTCACATCCAGCCAATCAAGCCTCATCTCCAATGTGTTATTATAAGTAAGTGAAATAACATCATATGTAACAAAAATAACATCATGAAGAGATTGGTGAAATCCTCACAACCAGGCTCACAAACAGGATCCACAAAAAACAACAGTTAGAGAAAAATGCATGGTAAACAGGCTCAAATCCAACCAATCAAGCCTCAGAAAATGTGTTATTATCCTGTACAATATCAACAGATTATACACCAACCAGCCACAAAAAATGAACCAGGAAACACACATACTATACCAACAATGACATGTTATCTTATAAAATTTCCTGGTTGTTAAGCTCATTAAGAAAATTAGTGAAATGAGCTCAGAATCTAGTCAATATCATCATTGTTAGCCATCCAGTACAATATCAATTGATATTGCAGGTTGCTAATCTCAGAAATTTTGACAATCATCATAGCCTAAAGTAAATAATCACCAATGTAGACAAGTTTCATGAAAACTTACTACACAAAATACCTAGAGCAGTAGCCATCCAGTACAATGTGTGCACATTGTAGGTTGCTTACATCTTAGGAAATTGTATGGTGACTTTTAAATATCCTGCAGGCATAAGTTTAATTTAAAGGTTAGTACAGCACCACAAAAGCAATCGAATGAAATGAGTTGCCAAAATGTTAAAAAAGAATTTTCTAAATACGTGACCTTAGCAACATATATAAAACATTTGTTAACAGTGACAAGAAAACCATAAACATAATCCCATGAATGTATGGACACACTGAAATATAACATGCAAGCTTAAATTAGATATTTGCCTCTAGTTATCAGAGTTCTCTTTGTACTTTGTAATCTTGTTTGATTTCAGTTTTTGTTAATCTAATTTTTGTTAATCTAACACTAGGTACTATTTGTAACTGATTTAGATCATATGTGCTTCTTTAGGTACAATAAAAGGTCTAACTAATGACCAGCTGGAGGATATCTATCGGTTGCCAAATAATACTTGGGAAGACATACCATCTACCTCTTCGTCCAGGTGCAGAATTAATAGATAACATGATTTGTTACCTTTAAACATTCAGAATTAGGATTGATCAACCTGACAAACAATAATTGATAGGTTGACTTGTGGGATTCATTGCAACCTTTAAACATTCAGAAACCCTAAAAACACAAACATATCCCAAACATTCAGAAACCCTAACAGGGGGGGATATCCCAAAATTCAATTGAAACCACACCAATTCCTTGTATACGGGCAGATAATCTGTGACGCCCCTGGGTTCACACAAGGCTGCAGTCCTCGGTGAAACCAAGAATGTCAAACCTGCCATGCACCACACCGTGCAATAACATGTTTCACCATCACAATTAACATCTCAAAGATCAAATACCCTCCTCCAATTTCTCACAAAATTGATCTAAAT